AAAAAAAAAAAAAAAAAAAAAAAAAAAAAAAAATTAATGGACTTTTCTACCCCTCATTTTTCTAATTTAATTTAATTTTTCAAATATTTAAATTTTTATTACCATTTTCAATATCAATATTTACTAAAATAAAATAAAATTTATTGATATATAAAAAAAAATAGCAACAAAAATTCACTCATGGAAATAAAGTACAAATAATAAATATTTTAACTTATTTAAAATATCTATTTTAATCTACAATTTTTTTTAATTGGTTTTTTTTTTTTTCAAATATAACATGTTAAGTTAGATACGAATATTGGATGAACATTGGACAATGTGTATTCGAGTTCCTTCTAACTTACGGGAGATTATAAATGGATCCCTCGTTTGAATTTTTACTAGAGATTGGGAACGATGTACTTTCCAAATGACCCATTTCACTGACGGGGTTTATCATCACTTTAGTGGCTTGGCATGTCACTCGAGATTTTCAATTATTCTTTTTTGTAAGGTTAACGACCTTTTACGATAGATCATAACATATATGAACTTATGTAAATCGTACGAACATAAAACATGAGTGAGAGAGAGAGAGAGAGAGAGAGAGGAGATTTGGAAGACATGAAGTGATTTGTGTGTGTTGGTCAATAGCTAAGAAGTAGGCTTATGTAAAGGAGAAAGAAAGGCCTTAATGAAAACTCTGCTGGATCTTCCCTCTTCAACAAACTTTGCCCACAAATATATTTAGTATACCATTGATTTAGCTTCTTGTGGCTCTTGTTTAACCCCTTCCCTTCAAATGCACCTCTCTTTCACACACAATTAACCAAAACCGAAACAAATCGAGAGCTAACAACGTCGTCATAATGCATGTATATAGTGTCAATGCCAACCCATCCACGGGACAACTTCGAGGTATAGGTAAATTCACGTTTCTTGTTCCTTTGTAATTTGTGTTAAGCAAACCATACAGACAGGCCGAGAAGTGCCTTTCGTTTATTAAACAAATTCATTGAAAACTAACCGAGTTTAGGCATTTCTATACGTAGAGGGGGATTCTTCTTCCAAATGGTCGCCCGCACATTCGCCACCCGTGACAGGAAAGGACCGTGACCCTGAAGAGGATATCGATCACCATCAAAAGAAATCAGTTTTTGCGAAAGTGAAAGAAAAAGCAAAGAAACTCAGATATACTCTAAGCCACAAGAAGAAGCACGGCGAAGACGAGAATGCTACGCCGTCGTGGGGATATAATTTGGATGAAAATGAAGAGGAAGAGGAGGACCATGTTGATGCTGAATATTTAGGAGCCCCAAGTAAGGTTGTTTGTGCTCATATCTTTCAAATCCTATTCTAAAATATGAACTTGTTTCATTTGCAGTGTATGAATCAGAGCTAGCACCAGAGGGCTGCAAAGAGAATGCCAGGCAGCATCCACGAGCCAATCCTGTGATTGCTGAGAATCATGTGTTAGCAAACAACATAAATCTTGCATCAGGACAAGATGAAAAACCTTTCACCTCGTCGGAAATGTCGTCTGAAATGAGCGTCGAGTCGTCTCTTGGGAATATCAAAACAGGAACCGAAACTGCAGCTGCAAATACTACCATTAAGAGAATACAAGAAATGGAGGCTGCTAAACCTTCAAGTCCAAGCAAGACATTGACAGAAGCTGTAACTGAGAAGTTGGCACCTGTTTATTCCACTGTTACTGATGCTACTCATGCTCTTGCTTCAAAGATCCAAAGCCTCACGTTCTCCGCTCCGTCGAACCCATCGGCCAATTCTTCACCGGCTACTCCAAAAGACGCTTTTTCCCCAGCAACGCAGAAGAGGAGCTCTTCCCCAATGGATCTGCAAGCATCAAGACTTGGTAAAGGAACTGAGCAGATATGGGACAAAGGAGATTCAGTAAAGGAGTACCTGATGCAGAAGTTCGAGCCAGGTGAAGACGAGAGAGCGCTTTCTGAGGTGTTGTTCGATGCGCTGAGTCCAGGGAAACTGCCTGGAGATGTAGGTGTTGTGGAGAAGATGAGGGAGGCAGTAAGTTCCATGTTACAGGCTGATGAGGCACCACAGCCAGTGGCTACACATTTGGCTGCAAAATCTTTGCCACGGATTGAAACGGCACCACAACCAGTGGCTTCACAATTGCCTGCAAAATCTTTACCATTGGCTGAGAACTCACCAAAGCCAGTGGCTGCAACATCTTCATTGCGGGCTGAAACAACACCACAACCAGCAGCTGCAAAACAATCGTTACGAACCAAGAAGACACCAGAGCCCGTGGTTGCACGTTTTGTCACAAAACCTTCATTACCGGCTAAGGAGGCACCTCAAGCAATACTAGCACTACATTTGCCTGCAAAACCTTCATCACAGGCCAAGGAATCACCACAGGCACTCCTGGCTACACGCTTGGCTGCAAAACCTTCATTACCAGAGGCAACACCACAACCAATAATTACACATTTAGGTTCAAAACATTCATCTAGCGCTCCTATCTTTACCACTACCCACATGGGTGAGTTACTACACCTTCAAATTTCTACTTTTACAAATAATGTGAGATCCCACATCGGTTGGGGAGGAGAACGAAACACCCTTTATAAGAGTGTGGAAACCTCTCTCTAGCAGACGCGTTCTAAAAACCTTGAGGGGAAGCTCGAAAGGAAAAACCTAAAAAGGACAATATCTGCTAGCGGTGGGCTTAGGTCGTTACAGATAATATAACAGAATAAAACAATATTTCTTTCTGATGCAGTGGCTGAGGAAGAAGACCTAGAAAGAATACTCCAAGCCAATTAACAGACATATTCAATGATATCAGAAGTTCATAGACACACACACGCAAACAACAAACAATAAGCAATTTACAACTAAGTTGTATTGTACCAATAAAATATTTCTGCAGTATTGTTCTTGCAGATTGATGTGAAGAATGCAAGGGCTGCTTGTGTTCTAATCTTAGTTTTCCTCTTATGTTCAGAATTTTGTACTCTGATGGGTTTACTTTGAACCCTTAATAACAAATGTTTGTTTCTTATGTCTTCATAGTTCCCAGTCAAATTCTCGAACCGTTCAATATGCAGTTCCTGAATTTAGTTCTCGTTCTCGAGCCATTGGTACGGTTCCTGAAACATTGACAATATAATAATATACAAAACAAAGCTGTAGATTTCAATCATAATGATAAGAACATTTAGATTTGCACATTTCAAGAAGGGAGAAAACCATGAGTATCAATTATTCGATTCGACACAGTTGTTCCTAAGCCACATTATTTATTTGCATATTGAATAGATCGACAAACTCTCTTCAATGGCAGCAACGACCTGTCGTGTCAGCATCTCCAAGTCAGAAATATGCTGCAGTAGTTCTGCAAATGTTAGGCAAATCAACCGATGCAAACGTACGTTTATTATTGAAATCACACGAAAGCGAATTTGATCATTACGTGTTTATCACTTCAAGATTTTGGATTCGATTTCTTCCAAACTTAGACCTTTGGTCTCGGGAACTTGAAGAGCTACAAAAAGAAGTGAAAGCAATGCAATAGCACCGAAAAGAAGGAAAAGGTTATCCGCTCCAAGCAATTCCTACAAAACAGCAATTTAAGCATTTGATGTCAATGGCTCCAGAAATGGTGGAGACCAGTAAAAAACCAAGCATTCAATGGAATAACAACCTTCAGGGGTGAAAATGCAAATGTGACGATGGCATTCGAACCGAAATTCGTAAGAACTGCAAGACTGATTCCTTTCCCTCTAGTTCGAAGTGGAAATATTTCGGACACCATAAGCCAACTAATTGGTCCAAAGGATATCTGCAATGGAATTTCAGCAAGTTTTTCACATCCTTTGCTGACAAAAAGAACCAGTAAAGCAAAGGATTGCAAGAGTTCCAGTTTCATTTTGAGTTTGTTTATAATTCAGAAGAGTGATTATTATATAAAAGTGTACTTCTGTGGGAGAGAGACTGATCAACAAAGGATGAAGGGCTGATTGGGAAGAAAACGAAAGAGGCTATGTTGGCTAAGGGTAAACCGGTTGGAGAAGGTGAGGTTGTATGTACACAGTATGGCAAAGGGTGGGCCTGCGAAGGATGATTCGAAGGTCAAAAGGGTGGAACCGAAGAGTAATCAATCGGCTCCGCCTGCTGCAGCCATGAAGACTGCCCCTGTGTCATCAGAGCCAGCAGTGGTGAAGACTGCCCCTATGTCAGCAGAGCCAGCAGTGGTGGTGGAGAAGAAGATGAGTAGAGGATTCAGAAGCCATTGAAAATAAAGGATCGGGGTTGCTAAACAGAAAGGACTTTGATACCATGAGAATATTTGCTAAAACCACCCCACCTAAATAATGTGAAAGTTCTCTATTTATAATCAAATAAATTACAAGGATGTGAAAAGAGTAATAAACGAAAAGAGCAATAGATGAAAGATACCTATAGTAAACCGTAATGGAAGACAAATATCTGATCAAATATGATATATACGGTAAACTATAATTCAGGACTAAATATCCTTAACCGAGACTGATCAACAAAGGCTAAAGAAGCAAAGAGAAAAGTATACCTGGTAACAACCAACATACAAAAGCAGGGCACCAACAGCAACAATGGGGAACCCATCAAGAAATTTGTAGTAGGCTGAAAGAAGAAGCAAAGAAACCGCCTGCAGTAATAAAGATGGCAGAATTAGAACCCCCAGCAAACAATTCCTCAAAGACTACAAGGTTATTGGAGGTGCCGGCAAGTTATGGATATGGTTATAGTGCTTACAATGCCACTAACACCTCCAATGAGCAAGGGCCTTCTTCCAAGATCATCAACTTTTAGAACAGCTACCCATGTCATAAGCAACTGAACGAAGAGCGATCGAAAGAAAATGATAAGAACGCTACAAACGGTTGTTATAGGACGACAGAAACAATCTCTTCCAGATTAGATTGCATATCTTTTAAAATTATCTCATGCACCTTAAATACCCCAATAACAACTGAGACTCTAGTAGCATCAGAGGCAGCAGCAAATCCTGCATTCTTGAATCATAATGGTGTACAGATATTATGATTTATCAAAGAGAAGAAAACCTGCCTTCTGGGTTATAATGTAACAAAGGGAAGGTCAAAACCTGAAGAATGGGACCGGCGTAATATAGAACGCTCGGCTGTCCAGTTATCTGTCACATCATAGATGATATAGTTTATGGAGTTCTTGAGTTATTTGCACTTTATGCTAAAATGTTATTCTCAAAATCAAATTTTAGAGATGACAAAAAACCTGCTGAAAGAGAACCAAACCGCCACCGATTATGAAGGCTTTCAAACTCGGGCCTTGAAAGACCTCCCAAATACTCCCTTCAGATTCCTGCTCTGAGTAGGCAGATTTCAGGGAGAGGAATGTTTCTTCTATTTGTTTCTCAGATAGTTTATCACCAGGAGGTCGTCCTCTGAGTTTACTCAAGGCTACAATGGCTTGTTCTTTAGAATCCTGTGAAGGCGCTTTACCTTGAACGGCCCTGAGAAGTAACCAACGAGGCGATGGAGGGAGAATCGACATTCCTAATCCCATCAATAAAGCAACCGGTGCACTAAATCCATACATGTATCGCCATCCTCCGATTGTATTAATCTGAAGGCTTCCAACTAAATACCCCAACTGAAGAATAGCAATGGATTGGAAAATTAGCTCATAATGAAGTAACTTAAACAACATGGAAAGGTTTATGAGCAGTACCAAGATTCCTAGTACTATAAACAGCTCCTTTAAAGATATTAAGGTTCCACGAATCCGAGATGGACATGTTTCAGCTATATAAAGAGGAGCCCCATGCATGGCCTGTTAAAGTGAAAATGTACCGACGCTAGTTTATAATGTCAGAATGCTCTTGCAATTTACAGGATTTATATGGGGAGTAAAGCAATAACATTACCAGACCAATGCCAAGGCCATAGAGAAGCCTTCCCGCCAGAAGAATGCCCAGATCAGGGCAATAAGCAGTGGTCAGGCTACCAAGTGCATATAGTACAGCTGCTATAATTAGCTCCCTCCTCCGTCCTTGACAACCGAGATAAAGAAAAACAGTCAAGTAAGTTCGTAAGAAGCTTCGAGCTTGAGTTTAAATTGAACACACCGAGCACATACCGAGAAAATCTGCAATCGGGTACACGAGGAGGGAACCAAGAAGAGCTCCATACAAAGAGCCACTAACCTTAATTCAAGGGAAAACAAGACGGAAAAGTTTGAGAGATATTTGCATCACAGTATGCAGTTGTAAGTCCTATATAAGAAACTCACCACCAGACCAAGTTGAACGGCGGAGATGTTAAACCAACTGGTGCCACTAAGCTCAGGAGACTGACATTTTCAAGTAAAAAACACAAAAACTCATCAACAGTAAATGGTGACTTCTCAGCTAGAGAAGACCTTTTTTTGGGGAAATCAGATTATATCAGCAAAATGTAGATCAACCTGCAATGAAAGGGTAGCTCCAGAGGTGGCACCAATGTCATATCCAAACAACAAACCTCCTATGGCAGGGAATACGAACCTAATAATACAGAAATTCAACGAGGCAGCTGTTAGGAATCACAGACCCTCCACAATAGTATGATATTGTCCACTTTGAGAATAAGCACTCATGGCTTTGCTTTGGGCTTCCCCAAAACGCCTCGTACCAGTGGAGATGTATTCCTTACTTATAAACCCATCATCATTCCCTAAATTAGCCAACGTGGGACTCCCTTCCAACAATCTTCAACAATCCTCCCCTCGAACAAAATACACTATAGAGCCTCCCCCGAGGCCTATGGAGCACTCAAACAGTCTCCCCTTAATCGAGGTTCGACTCCTTCTCTGGAGTCCTCGAACAAAATACACCTTTTGTTCGACACTTGAGTTACATTTGAATACACCTTCGTGGCTCACAACTTCTATATTCGACATTTGAAGATTCTATTGACATGGCTAAGTTAAGGGCATGACTCTGATACCATGTTAGGAATCACGGACCCTCCAAAATTGTCTGATATTGTCTACTTTGAGCTAAGCTCTCATGGTTTTGCTTTGGGCTTCCCCAAAAGTCTCATACCAATGGAGATGTATTCCTTACTTATAAACCCATCATCATTCCCTAAATTAGCCAACATGGAACTCCCTCCCAACAATCCTCAACAGCAACTCGCCAATTCAAAAAACCCAAAAGTATGAAAATGCAAACTAGCTA